TGGATGTCTTACATCAAGGTATGAAGACATGGAGTTGTAATGCTTTGGGTTTTTTTTAGGTTACTTTAATTCTGTGTCTCATGACTTTGAAAAATGGAAGTGCTGGTTGATTTACCACACAAACGGTTCAGATAGAAGAACTTCAGTGCTACTGCATTAGTAGATAACACTTCTTACTGAGATTAGCTTAATAAAATTAAAACATGACTCTTTTTTTTTGTGTAAACTGTTCAGGTTTTGTTCGTTTTCATGTGGTTGCAGGCATTCGTATTAAAAGAAGAAAAAACAGCTTCCTGTTGTTCACGTTAGCTGGCTTTGCAACTTTTTAAAAAATAAAACAGAAGTTCTCATCAAATGTGTGTCTTATATTTAAAACTTGTATAGTTAATGATCTCAACTATTATGCTCAGCATACATGGGTCTTGGTGAGAAGGATGCTGGCTGCTTCCTCTGGAAACAATGAGCTTACTACAGTTTGGCAAGAGCAATGCATACATAGTTTACAAAGAGAGCAAAATTTGTATTAATCAGTTGGACAGGCGTTCTTATTCTCCGTCACTGTAGTATCTTGAGGCAGAAGATGAACATTGGAATTAGATCAAGAATTCTGACTTCAGTCTGAGCTTTCAGAGTGGTCTTTATCTCCATGTGCTTGTAATATGAGTATTAACTTGCTAATGATGTCTGGATGCATTCCAGGTCAATCTCTCATTAGTTTTAACTAACATCTGTCACTAGCAACCAAGCTGACAATCAGCTGTTATTTTCTTATGTAAGAAAATAACTGCTTATGTCAGTATTTAGAATGCTTTGATTGGTTTGGTACCTGCATATTTAAATTTCAGGAAGAAATCAAAGCTAGTCTGTTTGAGGAAAAACCTCATCTTCGACACTCAAGACTAGTAGGAAACTTTGGTTGGGTGGATAAGGACTTTGTAACATTGTTGACATTGCAACTAAGTAATTTTATGTATTAAAGAAATTTATGATGTTTTAGTTCACTCTCAAACTGACAACAAAGTTGCAACTTGGTGATGAAAGTTGTTTTAACCTTTGCTTGAGCAATACAAGAAAATTACAGATTCATAGAGTAGGTGAGGTTGGAAGGGATCTGGAGGTCTGTAGTCCAACCCCATTCTCGAAGCAGTGGCAGCTACAACAGGTTATTCAAGGCCTTGTCTGTTGGATTTTGAGTATCTCTAGGGACAGAGACTCCACAGGCTCTCTGGGCAGTCTGTGCCAGTGACTGATCACCCTCACTGGTGGTCAAACATTAGTTCCTTTGTTTATGTAAAGTTATCATCATTACTAAACTTCAATGTAAACTCATTTAAGTAGAAGCAAACAAAATAAAGAGAAATTTCCTTTTTGGTCTATAATTTTTAAAAAGCTAGTGTAGCTTCATTTCTTCTGCATGTTATTTGTCCTCTGTTTTAAGTGTTAGGAAAAAACCATATGAGAATGTCGAGTTTTTATACATTGATTCCTCTGAGCAGAGAAACGTAAATGTGGCCAAATTTTCAAGTTCTGAACACTTACATACCTTTTTTTTCTGTCTAGTATGAATTTGTTTCAGAAGCATACTGTTCTGAATCCTCTGCTGACTTTAAATGGAATTAAAATTAAAATATCCACAACAAATTGTTGCTTTTATTTCATAGTTGCTATAAAAGAGATCAAGGAGCCAGAAGACTTGCAGGGAAAATAAAGATGTGTTAGAAGAATCCTCAAAACAAACTTGTCTGACCTGATCATGCTGTTGAAAACTTCATTGTGATTATTTTTGTAGGCTATCGTCATCTTTACTACTAATCCTTGCCTCTCTCTTATCAGCTGTTTTGTAAACGTGAATGCAAGTAACTTTTCCAGTTAACTAGCTTTAGGTGATTTATTGGTTTTAAAGTTCTTCTAGCTACTACACAACAGGAGATTTCAAAACTAAACTGGTGGACTTTATACAATGCTGCTAGAGTAGTGTTGGTACACAACACAAAAAAGGATTTGGAAGCTGGAAGGATAGGGGGATTTTAATAGGTATTTTGCTGGTTAAGTGAGAGATTATCTTTTAGAAAAAGCATTAGCTGTTCTCAAGAAAGTGAGGAATTGCGGATAAGGTACCGTTAATTTTTTGGGACGCTAAACTTCCCTGCCTCCCTGTGAATGCATAGAGAGAGTCACGAAGCTTATAATGACAGAGGTCATAATTAAGGCATTTTAGAGTGATTTTTGTTTGTCCTATAGCTAATTGGTCTTTAATTTAAAGCCAGATTAGAGTTTATGACTACTCTAGATTACTGTATGCAATGTCTGATTGATAGGCCAAAACCATGTTTTTTTTAAAGGTCTATAGAGACAAAAGCTGTACTTCAAAGTATGCACAGATGATCTGAAGCAGAGAGAAATTGGGAAGGGATGCCAGTACATCAGTTAAATAATAGGAAGGTTAACAGGACAGTTGATTCTCAGTTTATTGTTGCTATTTTGCTAGTATGTTTTGGTTGGTGCTTGTTTGTTTGTTTGTTTGTTTTTTCCCCAACTGGGATGTGTACGTGTATATCTAGGCACTATATTCTGATTCTGCCTGAAAAGGTGGTGCAGGTGCATGGCGTGGTGACAGCATTTCCTGATAATAAGGGGTTTATAACTTTATTGGTTTGGAGGCACTGTACTTTCCGTATACAGGACACATCCGAGACAGTCTGCAATTACATGGCTTGAATTATTGCTCTTCCTTTTTAAGTGACATCCATATAGTAAAAGAATAACAAAGGAAATGCTGCAGTTTGTGGTGTTGATATAGAATATAGCTAGTTTCCTTAGTTATGCTTACTCAGAGGTTGCTTTTGCTACCATTGTCTAAAAATTATGATTTAAAGAACAGTCTCTGTCATCAAAAACTAGTAATAGTGATCACCTACAGAAGCAGCTTGAGGTGTTCAGGAAAGCCATAGCATATGACAATCTGATGAGTACAAGAGGATAATCCTTAGTCCCAAAGGGATGGGCCAGCATGTTCAACAGAGTGGCAAAGTACTCTTAGCAAGAATGGATACAAGCCTACATCATCTACATGTCAGTGGTCAAAAATATACATGAATAAATGGAGTACTGGCAGTCTTGCAGTCAGCACTTAACACCATGAGAAATATCTTTGCAAAAGTATCTTTAGGTAGTATTAAATTCTGTACATAAGAATTACATTCTAACTCTTCTTCTGGCTTTAAAATACATTAATGAGTGATTTTTTCATTTATAGTTTCGAGGTCACACAATTTCTGTTCAACATGCAAACTTAAGACATCATATGTGCAGGACAAAGTTGCCCAACACTATTTCTCCCTTTCTGTAAGTTTTTCTGTAATTCCTAAAGTTGGCTGGTTTTGTGAGGTGGGGGAGAAGTAATTTGAAGGTGCTGAGGATAAAACAATTCCCTTTCTGTACTCTAGCTACTAACCTTTTAGTGGGAATTAACCTAAGTACTGCTTCATTTTTTATTCAGAATTCCTTCTTTAAGGCAGAGTACAGAAGTAATTGTTATTTGCATATATATGTATTATACAAAAACCTGGTATGCTCATGAAGTTAACCATCTGTTTTGGATTACATGACTTCACTGAATATGAAATGGTAAAGTGGTGATCATCATAATTCTGATGTTGTGATACAAATATTTATTGAAGTACTTGCTGAAATAGATGTGACTTAATTACCTAGATACTCGTTAAGTTTTGGTCACTAGTATTCTGCTCCTTGTCAACAGTAGTTCAGTGTCAACAGTACATAATTCTGGTGTAAAACAGTTTTCTGGGTTTAAACAAAACCCTATATTGTGACATTTTCACTTATATTTTCATAACATTAATTTTTGGCAAAACCTGTTTTTTCACCTGTCTAAACAAGTATGCATTGCATGCTTTGCTTCAGAGGACAAAGGCAGCACCAATATTAAAAATGCACTTCCTGGTTTATTTCCTTAATGGAAAGAATATGTGGTTATAACTTGAAGACTGTTTTCCCAGTTACAAGTTTAAATTCTAGATTTATACATGTGTTCTTTCTACATTTAGCAGATACTAAAGCTGGAGATAAACAGTTTGGTAGCAGCCTTCTGGCAGACAATTGTGTGCTATACAAAAATGAACATGCATAACCACCATCTCCAAACAGGATAAGAAATTGCATTCAAAATGTGTAATTTCATGTATGTTTGATGGAAATGGTAACTGAATCAACCAGTTAAACACATGAAACTGGAACTATATGTAGCATGTCAGCTAATATAATAGATATCAACTATATAAAATCAGCTAGTTTTCTTACGAAGGCACTTTTATTTAAAAGCAAAGCAGCACTAAAAGTAGATACTGGGGTAGGTCCTTATTTGTTCATGTTCATTCTGTATGTGTGAAGGAATCAAAAGTCATCTTGGACAAGCCTGAGGAGAATGAGAAAATACATCTCACCCTGCCTTCTGCCATCCAAGGTGGGTAACAAAATGAAACGTAACAGGATTGATGCCATAATTGGTTTCTTGAGTACTACAGTTACTTTAGGATGTATAAAACCAAATAGGACAGGAGTAGCTAGACTAAACCCAAGAGGTGTGTAGCTGGAGAATAAGGTAATATATTGGCAAAGTAACAAGCCAACCCTTATGTTCATAACTGCTTGTCAGCTCAGTGCAGTTTTTGGACGCTATTTGTCATGTAAGTTTAAGCAAATGTGACTGCAGTATAATATCTATGCAAATATAATACAGGATTCTATTTAAGTATTTAATTTTCTAGTTCCTGAAATTGTCCATTTTCAGCAGATTCCGTTCCATTCTTTGAAACTGGTCACTTGTTTCTGGCACTCTGCCATTAGTGCCAGTTATTGCTCCTGTTGGAATTTTAAAAATACAGCCTCAGTGAAATTTTTGATTAACACACAAGAGCCTTTATGTAAAGGGATTTTTTTTTCCCCAATCAAAAAAAAAAAAGACTCTTAGAACAGTTTTGTTATCTCACTTCCTTAGTAGCATCTGATTCTTCCTCCTCTTCCTCATCTTCATCTTCCTCCTCCTCCTCCTCTTCATCTTTTCTTAGCATACTGCTGGAAATCTATTAAAACAAAAATCCAATAAAAGTAAATCAAGTGTTTGTTCTTGTGAAAGAAAAACAATTCTCTGTTGGTATTTCCAGTCTAAGTACTTGGAGGTTTTTTGTTTAGGGGAGGTGTGAAGTTGCTTATCCCTTAACCCTTCAACTTCTAGTAACATGCACAGTGCCAACAGAAGGATCTATGGCACAGAATATAAATACATTAATGATTTTTAAAAGCTAAAAAAAAATCCCCATAATCTTGAGAACTATTGTAGGATAGGGAAAACTATGCATTGATCGAATTAATGTTAAAAATCAACAGGATGTAAATCAGTTGTTTTTTCTGGGTTAGCTGTTGAGACAGCAAGCTAAAGATGAGTATTAAGGCACAATCTTATCTTGAAGACATCAGATCTCTTCAGTTAAATGAAAAACTCAACACTGTGCCGCTCTAAGCTGTTTTTGAGAATAAATTAGACAAACTTTACTAGAAGAGTCTTGATTGATAAATGAACTTGTTTTCCTGCCCATCAGCGCTTGCCCTTCAGAACGAGACTGTTGTCCTCTTTTGGTTCATCAGATGCTAAAAACTAAGTGCCAGCTGCCAAGCTTTCATTTCATCTGACAGATTCTGCCATCTATACTTTTATCTAATGAGGGCTCAATCTAATTCCTATTGAAAAGAGATTCTTCACAGAAGATGCAACATTTACAATTTACAGCAGAATATACGTACTTTTTTTTCTTTCCCATGAGAAAAGGAACATTAAACTTAAAGACAGTTACCCAAGTCATCTGGAATGCTTTTGAAAATGATTTTAGATTCAGCAGTTCTCTAAGGGCATTGGCAGCTCTAATTTTGATTATATTTTCTGAGTTTTCTTACATACAATGATATAATAAAACTTCAGTATTGAAGACAAAGCTTGTTTTTTTTTTTTTTAAATATCGCCCACCCTCCCTTATTTTAAAAGTCCTTAAGTACTGATTATTAAATTGACTTCTGAGATTTTGTAATTCATACAGCTATCTATGTAGCAAAAGTTTTTTATGTGTGCATAAAGCAAACTGCAATCATTGAACTAATGAAAGCAGTTAGTCTTGTTGATGCTCACAAAAGACGTAATTTAGCTTGAAGTAAATGCTTGGTTACAAATCTCTGAATATATCAAAAAATGGAGTTAATCATTGGATGAAGCTGGGTTAACTTGAGTCTGAATGCCTAAACCAGCAATCTTTCATTCTGTGAAAGAAGAAAAAGACAATGAAACTGATTTGTATTTGGAGATTAAGGAGTGCTGAAGATTGAGCCTGTTAAGGTAGCTTCATTTCAATGGATAGACTAATTTTCCAAGTTTCTTCTAGTTAAGAGCATCTGAACTTCTTAAGTAGAACTTCAGTCATATTTCTGAATAGAAGTTCTCCCTTTCCCTTTCCTGAAATAAGAGGTGCAGGTTTTGCTTTAAGGTTTTTTTCTGGTAACTACTCAAGTTACCGGTGGCAAGACGGCTAACCTAAGAACCAAACTGGTTCAGAGGAAGGAAAGTGAGGAAGGAAATTAGGCCATTTAAGTCCATGTCATTTTGCCATAAAACTAGAACATACCAGTACTTGAAAATTTGTTTTTTGATGACTTAATCATGAAAAAATAATTTAATTTTAAAAATTAAATGGAATCTGATCATTTATTGCTCATCATAAACAATTTTATGTGGAAATTAATTCTCTAAGTTTGCACATAGGTGATGACTGTCCTTGCTTAAGCTGTTAAGCTGCATTTTTCACTACATGTGCTACTACAAAAAGCATGGCAATTCTTTCCTCGTGTCTGACACAGCAGGCAGTGCTGGAACACTTGGATGCAGGCATTTTCAACCATGGTTAAAATGATAGATACTTGGCTGCCTTAGAGGGCAGGTGCAAAACAGTTGGCTACATTAAATGCACATAAAACTTGTAAAGTTTGATATAAAATAACTGGAAAAGGTCATTCTCTTCTGCTATAGTTCTGTCTGAAATATAGTATACCAACCTGAATCAGTAAAACAAAATGCTGAAGATAAATTGTCAAGTGCAAAATGAAGGGATTTACAAAGGATTGTCATGAAAACTTAAATAGCCTTCTCAGAACTTGTGTAAAACTAAGTATCTGCAATAGTCATGTTTAAAAAAACGCTCTGAATCCCCGAAGAGATTTTCTCATAATGGGGAGCCATCCTATGAAAAAGAGGTTTCCTGGTGCATAGAAGTTTTCTCTCCTGATCATGTTAACTGCAAGAAAATTAAAAAAAAGTGCAAGTCTTATTGTTGTACTGTCAGTACAGCTTGGGACATTAATTCTTTCTGACAGGATTGGCCATTACTCCTTTCCTTGTGGTTTTATAGTTTTGTCTGCTAAATGAAGTCTGGCAGGTAGGACGGAGAAACTAGCATCTCATTTGCTTCAGCTCGTGCAAGTTGAAAACAACTATGAAAGTCAAGGGAGGAAAGAGTTGAGGGACAAAAACATTAAGATGGACCCAAAAATATCGGTGGTCTTTGCAAATCCCTGCTTTTGATAATTTAGCATATAGTTTTCCTTCCAGAATAGTCACTCTATGTGTAAGTGACAGGACACAGATTATGTTATTTGACAAAGCAACATGACATCACGTTAAGGCACCAGAACTTTAAAAGGAGGTAGCTCTTTCTGAAAAAAATGAATCAAGCTTAAGGATTACTTTACATTTTTAATATGGAAATACTACAGAAAGGTAGTCCACAGAACCAGAAATAAATTCAAGGGTGGTATGTGCTAAATCCTCTGAAAGGCAGGTATTGTATTACTGGCACAGTTCATCCCACCTGGTATGCAGTGACTTCCCGCCCTGCCCCTCACAAGTTAGTGTTTGTGTCCTGTCCGTGTAGTCTTAGCCTGTGTGACTCTGTGAGCTCCTTACCATATTATTTATACTGCTTTCAACTGAAAATTCCAAAGTACTGCATTATGGTCAGCGAATGATTACTACATAGCATGAAACCAGACTCGTCAAAACTCTGGGAGTGACAGATCCACGGAAAGGTAAAACAAGTCCCCGAAGGCTTTTCTGAACGTGTGTTTTTTTTTGCTAGTGAGATATTTGGTGGGTTGCAGAGGTTAGAGCCTGTCATGTAACTCACAGTACTGATCGTGACTGATTGTGATGATTAAGGGAGTGGAGCATCTCCCTTATGAGGAAAGGCTGAGGAAGCTGGGTCTCTTTAGCTGGGAGGAGACTGAGGGGGGACCTCATTAATGTTTATAAATATGTAAAGGTGACTGTCATGAGAATGGAGCCAGGCTCTTCTCAGTGGCATCCAATGATAGGACAAGGGGAAATGGATATAAGTTGGAACACAGGAGGTTCCGCTTAAACATGAGGAAGAACTTCCCAGTAAGGGTAACAGAACACTGGAACAGGCTGCCCAGAGAGGTTGTGGAGTCTCCCTCTCTAGAGATGTTCAAAACCTGCCTGGACACGTTCTTGTGTGATCTGATCTAGGTTGTCCTGCTCTGGCAGGGGGATTGGACTAGATGATCCTTTGAGGTCCCTTCCAATCCCTAACATTCTGTGATTCTGTCATGCAACATGCTATTTGCAGAATCAGAAAGGGCAGCGTAGGGGGTGTGTGGAACAGGATGCCTACCTCTACTTCACTGCCCTGTAGTGACTGCATTAGTAGGGTGTTCCACCCCTTTTTGCTGCCATGTGATCCTCCTCTGCAGATACACTGCATAGCCCAGTGGGATGACATTTTGAAACGTACTGCAGTTTCCCTCTAGGTCTAGATGACTTCCTGTTCTTTCCAGATATTCCAGTGAGAGGTTATGAGATCATTAACATCTGAAGTTACAGCTAAAAGACAGGTTTAGGAGAGAAGTAAGGTAGACTTGCAAGTTAGTCAAAATGGAGTTCCACTCCATCTCTGAGAGAAATCACAGTGTACATACATTCACTTTTCTGTTGTTTAAGGTTTTTGGTGTTTGGCTTTTTTTTTTTTTTAATTTTAAAAGAAACTCCAAATCATATCTATCTCTGGCACCTCAAAGTAATTACAGGTGCTTCTATACCCTTGGTAACATTTTTTGAGCACTGCAGGAAGTTCTCAAGGAAGATGGCAACAGATCTTTGACAGCTTCCTCTGGTCTTCAAAAAAATGAATGGGTAAACATTTTCTGAAGTAGCTTGAATTTGAAATTTGCTTGTTTGATAGAGAGGACAGGCAACTTCAAAGTCGAGGTTGGTCTTCATGCACTGAATGACTGGGTTCTTTTATCTTTTCAGATGGCACAACTCATACTTTCAACAACAGAATAACTCAACTGTAATGATTGATCCTTTCTGTGTTGAGAGCAGAGAAGGGGTAATGGTTTGTATGAAGTCAAGAGAACTTTTTAGGATTACAATACCAATACTTGATTCTGTCTGAAGAAGAAAAGTGAGATGAGTACATTTTAAATTTGGCCATCTTTGTCTTTAACTGAAACACTGGTAAGAATCATCTTAGTTACAGGATTAAGGCTACAATAAAGAAAAAATAATTTAGCTGTTTTGCAATGTCTGCAAGTTTACTGGTGCAAACGAGTGTCAAAGATTTTCGCAAGGTAGCTGGTTCAAAAGCAGCAGCACTTCCTCCGTCTGTTTCACTTATTTTTATCATCCTCCTTTTCCTCACCTGCTCTGAATTTTCAGAGTATAAAAGGAAAGATCTGTTGGTCATGGGTTTGCTCTGCTGCTCACAGGTATCACTAGTCTGAGTTAGGATCTGGTACAGAATCCACACTCCAGGATCTGGATACTGAGACTAAGAATATGCAAGTGTTATTTAAAACTGTAACTTCTGTTTCTGATAAACTTCTAGATCTCTTCTCTGCAAGATGCCACAGTTTCTTGATGAAAGAAATAGTATCGCTCAAAATGGCATTTTTCAAAAGTAAACGCTGCTTTAAAAGGTGATTTTGTTTTTTCCTCAAGTAAAAATGATATTTAGAAGCTGCGTTATTGAAAGCTTAATATGATGTTTATGCCCTTGGAAGTCTCCTTACCTTTGTAACTGTCCTGAACCGAGTAAAGATGGTGGATCATTGTACATGAGCTAAGGCTCTGCCTAAGACATTCTTTTAATGCAGTGACCTAGCATTTAATTTGTCTTTCTTACCTGTACTGTCCTCAACGAAGATTTTAAGGAGCCAGTTCTTTGCAGGGGGGACTTTGAGTTGGCACGGACTATGTCTAAGCGAGATTGATAGTCTGGTGGATAAAGCGAGCTCCGAAAAACCTGTGCAGAGGAAGAAAGCTGTGATTTAGGTGCCATGATACAGCTTGCAAGCATTAGACAATTAAACCTGCTCTGGAGATACCCATCAGCTGTAGTTTGGATTGATCACTTTTAACTGAAACATCATCCTTGCTCAACCTGAGACATTAACACACTCACATGGTCAAGGTACATGTTCTTCAGAGATCCTAGGAGACTTGCAAGGGGAAAACTGCAGTGGTTTCCCACCAATGCACGTAGATGATTTTCAGGCTAACCTAGAGGTGTGAAGACAACTCTCTTCATGCTCTCCATTTCTTGGAGAGATGAACTCTTAGCCCCTTCACAAGCAAATCCTTGCTGCTTGTCACAGCTGCATCAGAAAAATTTTATCTGAAACGTTCAGGAGATGTGCAGCTCAAGAAAAAATTGGAAAAACCCTTAGAATACAGGGGAGAGTGTAGTATCCATTATATCTACAAGTTCTTTCCAATAGCCAAAGTCTATAGGACTAACAGCCTGAAAATAATAAAGCTATTCATGCAAGACTTATTAATAAGTCAAGGAAGATGGTAGAATTATGGTCAGTCAACATCTTTATGGAAAGTAAATATTGTAAAATTAACAGGAAATTTAAAATGAGATTAGAAATTTGGTTGTGAAAGATAAAGTACTGACTTAAAGGGTATTTCTGAATTGGTGCCACATGACATTTTAAATGTGAAAATAGAATAGTATGAAATTGCCATGGTGTAGTTTAAATGAAGTGAAAATACCAAGTAGTCTCAAATGTGACTGTCACCAATGAATCATGATTTTGTAGGTCTTGCACTAATTCAGTACTGCAATCCTTGGCCCTGAGCTATGTCATGGTAAAAATAAAATTAGGACTGATAAGATTTACAAAAAAACACTGAAAGTGATACAACTTTCTTGACAAGCTGAATGCATGTACACAATATACATTTCAATGATAGTAAGTTTAAAAGCCTAGCATCCGGGAGAACAGCAAGAATGAATAAAGGTCTGAAAAACATGTATTGGGAAAGAGAGACTATAACTCAAGAACAGAAAGGGTGACTTGAAAGGAAGCTATAACTGCCACAAGGCAAAAAAAAGCAATTTGGTAACAGGTATCTCTTAGTTCTAGAACAGCCTAATAAAAAACAATGACTGGAAGATGAAAAAAAGCAAACAAAGCTCAGAATAGAAAGAAGAGAGAGATTTTTAATGAAGTAATTAGTCTTTAGAACATCTTATCAGAGCAGTGTAAGATTTTCTTTTGCTGTGCATCTTTACAGCGAGACTCACAGCAGAGGAGTTCTTTAAGAACTATGATTAGCTGAGCTTGGAGCAGCAGTTAATTTAGGAAAAGTCCCCTATCTGTATTTTGTAGGAAAGATTAAATTGTCACTGCAGTTCTTGTCTGTTTTTAATATCTCTGAGTTTACAAACCTGCATGCTCTTGCTGGAGAAGTACAAAAAAGGACTGGGTATACTCAAGCAGTTTGTTCTGGGAACCTGAAACATACGTTGCATTTTCTGCCTAGGACATGTATAGCCCCAAAGTGTGAAAACTTTTTATGTAGTAAGTAAATGGAAAAGCAAACCTTAATCACTCTTACCTGTAAATCTTCGTCTCCATCAATATTTTGGATATTTTGGTAGGCAGCAGTATAGATCTCTAAAGCTTTCCCATGGAATAACATTTCAATAGTTATAAATTCAGAAAATATGTTCTAAAAGCAAATGAAAACAAAGGCTTTCTTAATGCAGTAAAGTACATTTCCCCTTCAAATACAAGAAAGTACTGAATTCTGTACTTGGTATTTGTATGATACCAATAACTGCATGATATCTAGTACTTTTAAGTAGTCAGACCTGAATTTTAGAAATGAAACATAAACACTGGCTGGGCTGTCACTTGGGCAGTTGTCATTTAATACTAAATTCCAAGTAAATGCTTGAAAAGCGCAGAGGACACTCATTAGGAATAAATAAAATGTCATGCTGAAAACTCACTTGATATTCCCTGATATCTGCAAGATGTAGTCAGTGAATTTTTGCTTTATTGATGGCAATCTTTTTTTGACAGGTTGGAGATAAATTATCTTTGAATCCTATAGATATATAATTTACAGATAACTGTATATTTCCTATAATAAAATATTCTTCATATATAAAACCCCCTCACATAATGATGACATCTTCAGAACTCACAATCTTTTCATTTTACTCCAACATCAAGTACTGGTTGGTTTGGTTGGGTTTTTCAGCCATCTTTCATTCTTTCCTATTTAGTCTGTCCTTTTTTTTTATTCCTCCCCAATAAAAAAGTATCTCATTTCAGCAATTTTGTAATTAAATTTGAGATCACATACTCTTAAGTGTTTTTCAGTCACTACAGTCTTTGGGACTTAAGCCACTTAATGTTTGACATTAAGAGAGAAATGAACACTTCCACTACTTGCAATCACTACACATTTGGTGCTTTCTGTATCAGTAAAACATTCAACTACAATAACCTACACAAATTTCAGCATGGATAAATCTACTATTTGCTTATCACTATTTCTGTTAATTTTGCCGATATTATCACTCCACTAACAAATGCAGCTACCAGTGAAGTGGAATACAGCAACTGTTGGAAGGTGCAGACATTGAACAACCTGATACAGGAAAATTCAGAATTTAGTAAACTGTGAGAATAACGACCCGATTTTTAATTGCAAAGTTCACAATATTTGGATTATGAAATATTCATGAATACCACAATATTTATGTAGGCTTAATACTAAATGTTGCTAATCTTGCCAAAGCGTAACTATAGTAATTTTATCATGCAAGATGAAACGTGATGTCATATACTGAAATGTGAGCACACATACTTTTATGTCCTTTATTTTTTGTTTCTCAAAATTATCAATGGTTTCCTCTAATTGCTGAGTTGTTCGAGTTGCATCCAGCGAAGCTCTCTGCAATTCACTTTCAGCCTGGTAAAATAACACAAAGGTGGAATCAGTCCTGTACTTGATACAAAGATATTTGCTCTAATTCATGAATGGGTTTTCAAAATGCTACACATCTGTGTTACTGTATTTGTAAATTTGGTTGTAGCTTAATAAACATATAAAGATGCCTTCTACACCATTGTGACTTTGATCCGAAACATGAAAAATGACTAGCTGCAGCCAGTTGGGAAAGTCCCACTGTCCTAATCCATTTTCTGTAATACTCATTGGCTAATTCCGCTGAGCCAGCGCTGACACTCCACTGATGATACATTGACTGGGTTCAGGGAATTAATCCAGCACAAGGGTTTACCCTTATAAAAGTTAAGTGTTTTTTTTTAAGCTGGTGTAAAGGAGAGGGCAGGAGTGCACAGGCCAGAGTGGTGGATGATCGGAAAGGATCATCCTTTATTTTCAAAAACAGATCAACCTGCTGGGTCTAGAATGAATCTCTTCCAGTGTCACATGATGAACTTCCATTTTACTGTTTTTATAAATTATTTAAATAGGCAATAGAGCTGCAGCCGGAACGAATGTACTTCTCCCATAAGTGTCTCAATCAGCAGACTAGAGTTAATAATAATATTTAGATCCAAAAATATTTCAGGTATTTTATATTTTTAGTATTTTTATATTATTAAAATATTTTATAAAAATCTTCAGTAAGGCATTGGGAAGGGGACACTCCAACCAATCCCTGATGCATAAATACACAGTTTTTCTTATTTTGTTACCACAAAAAGCATTTTAGATATTTTAATTAGCTATAACTATGAACTATATAAAAACCACACTACTATTTAAATAAAGATATTAAAGCTCTCCTGGTTAAGTAAAGTCTGAGAAATGCATACTATTACAAAATAATGATGTAAAGATGCAAGAGCTTGCACTCCATGAGTGAAAAATTTGGGTCTAAATTTATTTTCCGTACATTACTGGTCAAATATCATACACTAGTCAAGACAATATTTACTTAAAGGCTGTCAGTGACCATAATCAGGAATCAATTCTGTCCTGGGATTTAGGAATAGTACATGGATCAAGTAATTGCATTCTATGATCAATATTGTAGGATTCTTCCCATTTGTACAACACTGCAACTTAGAGAGGAACTGTTTTTTTAAAAATGGAAATAGACACCACAGGCCCAGTTCCCATGATCCGGTTTTTAGTGTTGTACGTGTACAGAAAACTAAGGCATAAGGTATGCTCTGTCACCTCTTTTTCTTGATTAATATCTAGTAACCTAATATTGCAGGATCATCAATTTGAACCAATCTTACAAAAGCAGTTTAAAGTCATAGAAACAATTCTGCCATTACTGGACAAACAAAATTGTAATAATCTTTAGTAGTAGATAAGGTCACGTGTCCATCTCCCTTTCTTGATTTTCCCCAAAACACAGGAGGGAAACGGTAAGACAAGACGTTTTGTGTGTTCTCAATTATTACAATCAGTCACTCTGTAAATTAAGGCAGCTGTTATGCATAAGCAGCCATTACACATGCAAATACAGTATGTTATTTCTAAGATAATAAAATATATCTTCTTGATGCATCTTAAACAGACTGGCCAGATTTTGTGCGCAGATGCTTTGGGAAAGGAATTTTGTTTGTTGCAGAGTGAAATGTCTGAACTTGCAGAACTTGCATAGTTTGCACAACAGCAGTTTGATATTTTCTCTTCTGAAACACTCACCTGTGACTGGAAATATTAGTAAAGGAAAAATGGCAAAATAACAATTGATATTCATGAAAGTATCTGTTTTCACATCTGCTTTTAATATATTGTGAAGTATTTACCTCAGATATTTCAAAACTTCTGTATACTTGGAAGGTGCTATTATTATGTTGTCTGAAGCTTCCCGCTGTAAGATACTACTTACAGTTTGTTATAGCTGTGCCAGAATTCAAGTATCCAGGCCAAAATATTTCAGGACAGCTGTTTGTCTTGGACTGAGGATTTGGCTATTTATTAAAAAAAAAAAATCAGACAAACTAGGTAGACCATTTCAGGGAAAAAAATAAAAACAATTGATTTAAAAAATTCATTTTTATATTTTAAAAAAATCTGGTAAGGTTTTCTTTTCAAAGCTGTGTACTATCCCCACGTTTTACAAGATGGACTTGAAATCTGGGAGTAAGTACAGATCCTTTGCCATCTGTGGCCAAAGTTGTTAGTTGCTGAAACATCACAGTTGCTCAAGAACAAGAGAGCCACTGCTGGAGCCTAACAGCTGTGCTACTATCAACAAACATGGTGAAGCCTCTCTCAGACCTAAAAGCTGTCCTGCATACATCCTCAAAAGAAATGAACATGAATGTATTCCCAATACTTTTTGTGCTGATCCCTTTAAGATGCAAACACGTAGTGACGGTGCCTTTGGCTGTATGCAAAACCAGACTGTACTGAGATTTAATAGCTCTTTAGGCAAAGTCTTAAGTACAGAAAACACAGGTGCTACAAGCAGCTAGGCCACAGAAGGATATTTGAGAGTAGCTTAGCAAAGAGACAAGAATAAACAAGCCAGGTGCCAGCCATATACCCAGGAAATCAACTGGGAATTGGTGCAAGAGGGAGAAAAATGGAACCAGTCTCCCTTTGGGGAGAATAGCTCACTGTTTACTCCCTTATTTCTAATGGAAGAGAACTCTGCATCACAGCTCAGGTTCTAACCCTATGGCTGACATCTGTGTGTCTTTGTTATATGAGGAAGTCTAATTAGTCATCACTTGATTTAACTGATTTGATAAATATTAAATGGGAATCCTTTGGCAGAGACAAAAATAAAATTTAATTCTCCTGGGTGGCATTTGACTATCACAATCATTTTCGCTCTTTCTGCAGTCCCATGCCCCAATCACTAGAAAGATCCTAATTCTGAAATAAAGTTGATGAAATCCTGCAAAGAATAAGACTGCTTCACTCCTGAGTCAAATGCCAAAGTGTAAGAAAAAATAAATAGCACATCATCATGAACTTAAATGCTGTAGCACAATACATAAGCATAAAGGGATTGAAGTAGGATTGTCTTGATCACCTTTATTTTGGCATTTCCTAGATTCTGATTGCTTCAGAATTTGAAACTTCCACGAGATTTTAATGGAAATTCTGCGGAGGCCTAACTTTTCCCTCTGTGATACAGAATGGTATACTGGGGAGGGTCACTGGTCTTTTGAAAGGAAGAGTAGTCTGGTTGAGTATTCTACTAATAGAATAACAACTTTTCCTTTCACAGATGGAGGAAACTCATACCCCATCTAGGTACAAGGAAGCACGACAACTACCAAAATGACAGGGAGAAAAATAATAAAAAAATCCACAGAAGTAAAACAGATGTTGTCTGATTACACTTATTTTTAAAAACCTCCAAATTTCCAGATGCAATCCATGCCTACCTCTGTGGCATAAGCATATCAAATACTTCATAGTTTCTTTTCAATCAAAAAGGGAGTGAGTAACTAGGCAGCTATTATGAGCTGTAACTCATCGTAACGTTTACAAAACGATTCAACATCAGCATAGGAACTGTCCCTCTATAGAGCATTCTTCTCTTAATACTTTCTAAACACAATAATTTAATTTCCAAGAAATCCTAAACATATTTCTTATAGCCACTAGAAATGCAGGATACAATAATGTGTCGATCTGATGGATTGCGCTGACGTGTCTTTTCCAGTTGAGATAGTTGCTTGGCTTCTCGGTTCTTTGCTGTTAAAGTTGCTTTAAGGTCATCCTGGAAATAAAATGTTTTAGATGTGTTTGAAATACATCTAGGATAACAGATTTAGGATAATACAAAATGCACTTTTCTTCATACATGCATTGTCTAGAAAACATGAACTGAACTTCTGCCTTAAACCAAACCAGATTTTACTGATCTTATCCTGTTAAGTGATCCTCTGAAAGAAGTCAGTGGGGACCAAGAGAGTTTAGCACTTCGCCCAAGTCTCTGTAGCACACTCTATAATTTAAAATGTGGGGGGAAAAGAAAAAAGACATTTAAAGCTTTTCATGAAAAATATGGTAGATGGTCAAAAGCTGAGATCCCCAAAGCAATATGAAGACAGGCCCATTCCAGGCTTAGCAATGGAATAAACGTGGCATTTGAGATAAAAAGTGGCATCAAATAATTCGGTCAGAAAAAAACAAAACAGGCAGCAGCCAGAACGAATCAGAATTTATGAAGAACACAAAACTGCTACACAGAGCTTAAGGTGCCATAGAAAATCCATGTCTGAAAGGGTTAAACCGCATCTTTACACACGCAGTTAGGAAAGTGTTTAAATACATCTGGAACAAAACACATCCTAGTAATGATGTAGCTAGAGAAGATGAAACTTATTGATACAGAAAAGGCAGAAACTGTTGACAAATATTTTTACTCCTTGTTTCCAAAGGAGAAGTAAGATATAGTTGTAGGAAGATCTGTGACAGTTTAAGAATGTTTACATACCACTCTCAAATTCTTGTTCCTGCTAGAAAACTGTGCTTTGCAAATAGTTTGGCATATGTGGAATCTACAATTGTCAGTTTGATATTTATCACTCCATTGACCCTGGTATGGGAAATGACATTAATTTTGATGGCTCTAATTCAAAGGAACAGTACCTTAGAACAAGCAGAAATACAGCCCAAAGGAATCAGTCTAACAAAATCTGACGCGGGAGTGGGGCATGCATTTCAAACCATCATTTCCTCTGAAAACACCAGTTCCCATTTATCTACCACTCCAGAATGGACTGGATTAAAGCTATTAAAAACTGTCATCTCAGGAAGTTGTCTGTGCTCCTTCCCTGGCTTTCAGAATTTTTAACAAGGTTGTAGGTCTCCTTCACCCAGAAAGACATGCAACCAAGAATGTGTGTCTTTCAAAAAGTTATGTGATCCTGTCACCAGATCACTAAGTCAATGACAAGCAACAAGTGCACCAAGTTTCAGAGAGCTGTTTCTTCAATAACGAGTCTGTACATGAGATGAGGATCAAAACAGTTTCTCTTTTGTTTCTATCCTTACTGTCTGTCTGTATGCGCTTGTGTATATGACTGTCATTTTGCTTTGTCTTTAGGGACACCGAGTTGGTTTCCAATAATGAGAACAACTGCATCTTTAGCCCACTAAAACTAATTTTGCTGCTGTTCTTTCAAAATGGAATTTACACCACCTTTAAGGCCATCTGAAAGAATGCTGCAAAGGGCCTTCTCCTTTTATGAAAACCACACGGCTGCAAGAAAAGGAATAATAGAAATATTTTTTTTATTGCTTTACATTTCAGATTTTAAATTAAAGGTAGAGAAAGAGAAAAACATATTTTTGCTATAGAACAAAGCTGGTTTGTGTCACAGCTGCAAGTTTGATGTTACTTGATGACTGGGCCCTGTTAACAGCACTGACTTTCTAGGCCCATTTAAAAGAGTCAATCAGACTTAATGCTGTGGCTGAAAGGGTTCTGACTTTCATGCAGGTATACTTGAGAATGCTAAGGAAACCACTAGAGTTACCGTTACACAATCCAGTATTTTTTTCCTAGAATAGAGTGACTTTGGAAATACCTATAGGGACTGCACTGTTCCCTTCTGTACCTCTGTTCACTGCAGCAAGAGCAGCCATCAAACATACTTCTCTGCTAGCCAAAACCCGACAAAGATTTGGTGCTACTGTGGCTATAGTGGTGGAGCTATATTCAAGTTCTGGATGTACAAAGATAGGGCATAGTTACATACATATTTTGTCCAGCATGCTGAAAAACTGAAAAGGGTGCAGAAAAAACCAAAATATTCAAAAGTTGGGGAAAATACCATTATGGTGATAGAATTAAGGTCTATATTTTTAGCTAATGGAAAAGAATGAAAAATGGGGTTTACTAGCATCTAAACACCTTCATCCAGAAAAAAAACAGAGCATCATAGAGCTCCTTAATCTCAGTGGAACATATAACAAGAAACAAAGATTAGGCGAAGTCTTTCATTTAAAACAAAACACTACAAACGTCAACTAACCACTAACGACCACAAACAGTCCTACATTCCTCTTCAGCATCTTCAGACCAAGATTTGATGTGTTTTTGGAAAACATGCTTTAATTACACTAAAGGAGAAATGGAATGGAATAGCCAGTGAGATAAAATAGATACAGAGAATATAAAATTATTCATTGTCCCTCTGGCTATAAACTATGAATTCAAATCACACATAAGAACTCAGCCATCTAATTTCAAACCATATTGAAGTACAGCTACAGTCCATCCACCAGACTATGAGCTGGCAGATCCTCATCACTGTACTGTTACCTGCTTTAGTCACTGAAGTTATTAAAGCAAACCAGTCCTTTCTTCTGCAGGTGGACCACCTTGGTTTTATGATGTCCTGTTTTATATGAAGAAAAGGAACCAGGAACAGAGTTGCAAAAAGCAGAAAAGTGAAGATTGATATATAGAACAACGAAGCAAAAAGAAGTTCTAAAATCATACACTGAAGCTGCATTACAGGACAAGAATATTACACGAGTTTCCACTGAAGATGCCAAATCCTGCCCCAGAGAGCTACTCGGCATAGTAAATTAGGACACGTGAATGAAACAATTTTATTCCATTAGCAGTTAAATAACAACTCTATTCCAATTGACCTGGGCCTCTTTAAAGCATTTAGTATCACAGGACATTGATGTCTTACCCAACAGAAATACAGCAACAGTTTTTTTAGATACAGCACAAAAATAGTTTATGTACACCTTGGAGCAGATCCAATAAGTAGCAGTGAGAACATCCCCTTTATAAAAAAGTGCTATAATGACATATTTTACCTGGTTTTACTTAATCAGTTAATGTCATTATAGGTAAAGCAGTCTTACAACTAGCACCCTGTGCTAGCTTTACATGAGTGACAACACTTCCTTCTTCACTAAAAATGTCCCAGCCTCTAGAAGTGATAACTGAAGACCAGACAGTTGAAGTTTTAAGCAAGATTTATGGGCGTGCGGGTGGGAGAGCAGGGAAATCATTTAATGGCCTACATCTTTAGCAAAGTCTCTCTTAGTTCAAAGGTACATTGATAAAATAGTTAATTCCATCTCTCTTTAAGAATGCTCTTGTACTCCACACTGTAGCTAAGCCAAACATTATGAAATGTTTTCTGGCATTCTGGAGGGCAAGGACAACAGGAAATGCCACTCACTGTTGCAAGGGATGACCTGGCTTCAGCTGCTTCTGTCCTCAGCATTTACTGAGGACATTTACGTATCTTCCGTGCTTCAGAAGCCCCACGCACTGCTGCAGTGTTCTGTGCGTCTCCTCATTGCCATGAACACGAAACTTGTCTCCCACCCTCAACATTTATGTCCTATAGAATAACTCAGTCAGTTCTAGGTCTCACAAACTGGGTTTCAGAGTGATATTAAGGTACCAAATTCTAGGATATAGGCTTTATAGCCTACAACTCTGCTAAGGACTACCAGACATAGTACCACACAGCTGCAGGAAGCATTTCTGTCATACTTGTTCCTCTGACAACCAAAGGAGATACATATGCAGTAAGTTCTGAATGCTGTACTCACTTCTTCACCGTATTGAAAAGACACAAGAACAAAAAAATATGAAAAATGCTTCAGTTTAAGATGCAATGTCACAATGTACTCAAATTAACCATGATGAACACGCTATTAAGATTTTTGTATGTAAAACACCATCAAATACTGATCATTTTACTTTCCAATTTATATAGCTTATGATACAGATATATACATCAATTATAGATTTGAGTTTACAGGATGAAGGTAACCTCTATATAATATATAAAATATAGAAGTATTACAAAGAACTGCTTTCATCCCACAAACCAATATCTGCTTATTAAAATTTACTTGTTCAAGCTATCTGTCCTGGAGGAAAGAAATTTACAGATATTTTGTGGGAATATTTCAAACCCCTATATACACTGTTTCCAGAATATAGTGAAAAAAGAGACTTCAGTTTTTGAGTATCTGCAAGTCACCCTGACAACTTTGCAGGACAGAGAGGGATTCAGGCGACTTCAAAAAGTGTCTTCTACATTATGAACTTCAATGTAGAATGCAATGCTAAGTTAGGAAAGCTGTTAAAGACAGCACATAGATGAGCAAGAGCTAAAAGCATTACATGTAATTCACCTTTTGGAACTCTGAATAATAATAATAAAAGAATGACATTATTTATAAAGAAAAAGTCCAGCATTTGCACTATCCAGGAAGTTTCACTTCACCACCTGCAATGCCTTTTTTCAGCATTTGCTTGTACTCCAAGAATCTGAATATCCTTGCTTCACAGCAAACCTTTTTCCTCCAACATATATATAGCTTCAATTCATCTGAATGATTATATACTACTATATAATTTAGTTCGACTGATTACTGCAATATGAAAAATCAGAGCCATTCCTCCATGCAAAGCAGAAGTTTTCAGCTGAGTGGCCAGAACACCAAGATGTACCTTGTGAGAAAACAGACATTTAACCTACCCTTTTAAGTTTCACTATGGTCCCATAACATTTCAGAGGTTCAACAACCTTGGCTTCAAGCCTGTCAACCTACAAAAGAAATCACAAGGTCACCAAAATCATCCACATCTATGGTGTGCAGAAACAGGAAACAATTGATTTACTAGTGGCTCATCTTATTAGGGAATTTGTCCATATGTGCTGAAAATATAGTGGGATGGAGGTTTTAAAATATTGCAAAAAACAAAGTAAATTAAATTAACCAGTAAATCACTTCTATTTTGAGGAGCAAAAGCTGATTTCTATTTTCTTCAATGGCAATACATAAGGATAAATAAAACATGGAGATTCTAATAACTGAGTGCTATACACCAAACACCACCTCTTGGATATGTGTAGCTTTCTATCTAATGTTTAAACATCCATGTATTTGCTCTACACTTGTTGGCAGATTATGGGCTAAACCATCTTTGCTATGGACTAAACCATCTTTGCTATCAAACATACAGTACAAAATGCCATGCATCTGTTCTTAAAAACAATGGAAACAACAGAGTAGGTATTGAAATTAAAAATACCAACAACAGGTTGGGTAAAATGCAGGAATGTTCTCACAGATTACTACATGCAAATTTTTGTTTCAGTTCTTCTAGTTGGAAAAACAGCTACATATGGTCAGACAGGCAATAGGATAAGACCTGTCTGCTTGTCAAAATTGACAACCTTGCCCAAGTGGCCCTGGCATAAGCTGCTGATGACTTTGGACCATCTGGTCCATTGATGTTGTGTCGAAATTAGGACAAGGTGCCTATCTCTACTGCGAAGGGACAGACATTACACTCCCTTCTAAACTGGAAGTCATCAGTCAGCCAAAATCTACGCTGACTGAGCAAACATTTCTCCTTTACTACTCTCTACCAGGGCACTGTCAAACAATTTAACTTAAACTACCAATAAACCAGAATGGAGTAGGGCAGTAAGGCTCTAAATGAAGCATATGATGTAGACATACCAAATAACCTGCCTGTCTTGCTTACTTACCCTTCCACATGTTGTGAAAATACCTCACGCCTCAGCATTTCTGTATCTAGCACTGCAGCTGAAGACCAGAAATTGACTTTACAAGATCATTTTCTGTTGCCCACATTGTCAATACATATGAAAACTGTTAATTAACCTAATGCTCAAAAGTAATAAGGCTGAGATCAACTATTTGGTTTTCATGAGCAGAAGAGAACTTGATTTAAAAGCTAAAAGTTTCTTTTTTCCTTTGCTTATTCTGCCTTTTCTCTTTCAAAGGGCAATGGTGGTTTGGGGACTGGCATGGTAGGAGGACGTAGGCCAAATGCCAGTTTTTTAAAAACACACTTAGAAATCGAAAGATGCAAACTCAGGTTGTTACATAGGTACCTCAAAATTACAGATTCGTAGTTTAAAGGTGAAAATAGACCGAGAGATCATGCAGTCTGACTTCACATGCATCACTCTATTATAAATTTGCCCTATTAACAGAGGGATAAATTGCTATTACATCAGTGGAAGCACAAGGACTTACATGTGGCTCAGCTGGAGCCAGATACATAAGAGCTTATGGAAAAAAATAAAAATCACACTATCCACACCCTTGGATTTTGTATTACTTCTTAAAAATCTGGCCCTAAATACATCGTTAAAGATCCATGAATATTTATTGTTTTTCAAACCCTCTACTTAGTAGACTAGATACCTCATAGATTAACTTCTTTTAAAAGGCTTACTTCTACTTCATTAGTATAGAAAGACAACTTGGAATGCTTCTCTTTTTTTAATTTAAAGAAATCCTATCTGAAAGCATCAAGAATGTCAACTACTTTAGTTTCTTTTTTAAATTATAACGCTTCTTAGCTTTGCAAAACTATAAATGGGCTTTTTCTTTGCCCTACTGAAATAATGGACAGGTGCATCAAAAAGTAGTTTGAGTACATGTACAGGAATTTATTTTTTCATAAATCTCAGCACGTGGAATTCTGGATCATAAGCTACAGTCTGACTGGCCTCTGCATATAGATGTGTAAGTAGCATAAACACCTTTCTTTATGCTCTCCCTTACTGAGCAGATATGTGACTATATTGTCACATGTGGTCCAAATTGAGTTTGTACTTTTCATGTTGAACTACGGACTTACGAAATGTACGGTGGTGCTCTGCAGCACCCCAGAGAGGCTGTCAGTGCTCAGAGAAGGATTTCAGTTAGTATACGCTTCCATACCGCTTCTGATAACAGATTCGGCAAAAGGAAAATGACTGGTTTTACCTCAGCTGCTGCTAGACCACTCAAGTCACAAAACTAAAAAAAACACTTTATTAACCATAAATCATAATCCTAAGTCTAAGACCAACAAAAGACTTGCTCCATCTCAAATTCTGTGAGCACTCATACAGATAGTTTCACTGACTTCAACAGGACTCATCACAGGCAGTTTTCGCTAAAGTTACTAAGACGTAAACTACGAATGCTTTGGCAGCCTATCCTGCTGTGCCACTAATATATTTAAAAGCAGTTTCTCCCATGCTTCTCTCATGATTGCAGAATACATCTTTTCCCTTTTAATCACAGATAAGTAACTGAAAAGTTCAGATGGCAAACACAACATGTGCAGCTTTAATTTTGTACCTCTGCCTGGCGATAATCCTGAAGTCTGGAAAATTCATCTGCAAAGTTTTTCAGTCCAGCTTTTAAGTTTGGTGTCTCTGTGGCTGCATATGCATATATTTCATTTACTAGAAGATCTGCTTTGTCTCGTAGTCTGGCAGTTTTACGTACATATCCAGCAAATATTTGGCACAATTCACCAAAATGTTTTTCCACATTTGAAACAGCATCTTGTATTTGTCTAGTCTGATTGTCCCTGGATACCAAAGAAAAATAAGTGAAAAATAAGAAGGGGACAAATGTTTACAACACATACAGAGGAAAAACTACATAATTATGCTATTAATAACTTACACATGGTTTGGACATCTCATTTCCATGCAAAACAGAAATCTATTCTTAAAAAGAGAATGTTCTAACAGTCTGATGTAATATGTGCTTATTTAGGAATGAATAACAAACAAAGAAAAGCAGGAATTCTACTTAAAAATAAAAATCCAGTAAAGGAAAACCCAGATCACAAAAATCAGCTCAGAAGTTTTCCTCCTGTGGTGAAGCAAAAGCTCACTATTACTGTTGGTATTATTAATTACTAACATAGTGGTAACACCTGCAGGTCTCAATCAAGAGTGTCTCATATAGCTTCCTGCAAGCATCTGCAATCTAAACAGACAAGTCAATGGCTGGAGAAATTAGGCAGCAGAGGGCAAATCTGTAAAGGTACTAAATGTTCTTTAAATTGTGAACAGGTACGAAATTGCTCCTGTTCAGCACTACAGTGGATAAATATCCCTGAAAATTAGAGAAGAATGTGAATGGACACAAGTACAGATGTGAAAACTCAAAAACCACAAAGGACATTCATCACACCAACAAAATATTTTCTTTTTAATTATATTAATTCATTTTTTTATTTGAACAAAGTTCCTGTGTGTTTCATTATTAACGATCCACATAAGTCATTCTGAATTTTTAATTAATATATTTCACTTCATATTTTGCTTTCCTATTCCTATATCATTTGATGGTCTTGCTTTAGTTATGCTTCAGTGATATTATTAAACCAAATCAGTGTCAGTGAATTCATGTCAGTTGTCGATCTAACTGAATCACTATGGGACAGTTTAGCTAACGGTAACGGCCAGACACTGGGTCCTAAGAAGTCTCTATGATATACATGAAGTGATTCATGTAGCACTGTGTTTTGGATTTAGTCTGGGATTTGGTACGAGAAGAATGTTGATAACACACTGATGTTTATAGTTGTTGCTAAGACATCAAGGACTTTTCAGCTTCCCGTGTTTTGTGAGTGTACAGGTGCACAGCAAGCTGGGAGGGAGCATAGCCAGAGCAAAGGATCCACAACCACTAGTTCAGGATTTGAGTTTAGGTTTAGGATTGAGGCCCAAACTGGCCAAGGGAATATTCCATATCATCCAATGTCACGCTCAGTATATAGATGAGGGTTGGCTGGAAAGCGCTCTCTCTCTTTGGATCTCTCTTCAGGGCTCTGGCCAGGATTGCGGTTTCCGGACTTCTCTGTTTCGAGATCGCTAGCTGGGGTGGGCCAGGCATTGGTCAGTGGGTGGTGAGCAATTACACTGTGCATCACTTGTTTGTATATTATTATTTGTATATTATACTTTTATTTTATTTCAATTATTAAATTGTTCTTATCTCAACCCACAAGTCTCCTTCCCCTTCCCCCTTTAATTTTCTTCCCCATCCCCAAGGGGTGGGGGAGGACAAACAAGCACTGCATGGTGTTTAGTCGTGGCTGGGTTATAAAAATGACAGGGCAAAACCCCAGTTGTGTTGCTTCATGGCAAGCAGACTGTAAGGCTGTTCAAAAGAGATTTTGTTCTTTCAAAGAAAAAAAAAAAGCCCAGGTAAGTTATTCAGCCCTCTAGGACATGCTTCTGCATAGAACCATTTGAATAAGAAAGGCGTCGCTCAGTGAGTGGGAAAGTAAGAGTCTCATTAAGTATTAATAAAGTTGTTTTTCAAAATTAATACTATCTGATAAAATCTTCAGTAAAAGGTACATCTCCTTCCGTATTTTACCGGGAGGTCCTCACATCAGAAAGCGTTCCTCTCCACGGGGGCAGCCTTAAGCGCGTTTCCTCACCCGCTCTGCAATTCTGATCTCACAGTATTCCCATGCAAATAACATTTAATTCTGGGACATGAAACACTTACCTTTCCTTAGATGGGTAGGTATGAAAAGTTTTTCTGTTTCCCCTCCTAATTATCTGTGATCGCTTCGAGGCAATCACAGAATTACCAGCGAGAGGCCCGATTAAATCGCCAAGTCCTTACTTCATCTCTGCGGAGCACACTAAGCCTTAGAAAAGTTTTACGGCTTTTACCCGAGGAAAACAGAGGCGGCCGCCGCCCCTCGGGAGGCTGTCCCGGCGCCCATCGCCCCCAGGCCCCCGCGCCGCTCCCCGGGTGCCCCGACTGAAACGGGGCCTTCTCCCCACCCGGCGAGGCC